TCTCTCTCTCTCTCTCTCTCTCTCTCTCTCTCTCTCTCTCTCTCTCTCTCTCTCTCTCTCGTTGTTTCTGTTTTTCTCTACCTTCTCTCCTTCATCCTCCCCCCGCCTCTTTTCCTCCCCCGCTCCCCTCGCCGCCTCTCTTCCTTTCTCTCTCTTGTTAGTCTTCCTGTTGCCCTTTCTTCAGTCTGGAAAAGGGACATAAATTACAAATGTGAAAAAAAAGAGAAGCATTAACACAAAAAATCGACATCAGTCCTTTTCAGAGACTTTCTAAAGATAGATTCAGACTCACTCCTCCAAGAGCCGGATGCGAAATCCGAACACTGTCATAAGAGCACAAAGCAACGTCAAGTAATTTCTGCAGGTAACATAGCGGGGAAGACGACGGCTCAGGTGAGAGAGAGAGAGAGAAGGGCGGAGGAGGAAGAGGAGGAGAAGGGTGCGGGAGAAAGGAGACAATCCAGATTAAGATGGATGTGTCCAGGCCAGAAAGAAAGACTGACGGCAACAGGTCCAGGAAGCGGTGCGGGGCGCTAAAAAGGAAGAAAACATAAAGCATTAGGAGGAAATAAACGGCCCTTTTGTGCTGTGCTCATTACAGATGACATCGAGGTTTGCCTCGTTTTACCAGTGTTAGGGTAACGTACAGCTGGACAGATCTAGATCTAGTTGAGATTCTTTTCTCTCTCTTTCTTCTCTAGAACGTGAAGTGTCGTCTGATATCTACTACCTAACCGCGTGTGTTTTAGAGTAAATCAGCTAGTTTACAAACACTTCATAGACACAGCTTTAAAGTGCTTTCCAAAAAATTCAAATTCCCAGCTGTGAGAGTTAAGAATACGGAGTGTTATACATAAACTTATAGTCAAGAACAACAAAAACAAAAGAAAACGAATTATTGTGATTAAATACTGGTTTTATCATTGATCTCAGACAAGAAACCACAAGCAAGGCATTTAAAAAAACTAATCAGAAATCGAAAAGGGCAATGTATTACCATCATTAGAAGGAGGAGACTGTTTTCGAGAATCGGAGACGTACTTTCTTGTAGTTCGACAGTCTGTGTTCGTTTTATGTTGAGCTGATTATTGTGACTGAAAGTGCTGGTCAACAACTCCGACTTCACCATGCTCCTGGTCAAGAGTTTACTCCTTTTAGCCTGGACAGTTAACGCGTGTGATGGCTTGCGTGTGCAAGATATGTTTCCAAGTGAGTCTGATACCTGTGGTATGTATACAAGTGTATTTGTGTTGTTATAATGTGTGAGTGTACGTACACTTTTGTGAATACAAGTTGTGTATGAATGTGGGTCTCCTTGTGTACAAATGAGTGTGTACGTTTTGGTGTTTGTATTACGTTTGTGAGCGTTTGTTTGTCTGTATAGGTGTGTGTTTGTTTTGTGTGTGTGTGTGTGTGTGTGTGTGTGTGTGTG